AGAGGGCGGGCTGGGGCCTGCAGGTGAGGCCAGCCCAGGCAAGAGGGGCTGTCTCAGGGCTGGCCACGCAGGCAGGGGCGCGTCCGGCTTTGTGTGGGTGGGGGAGGGTCAGGGCCTGGGAACATCGTGGTTTTCTGACTGGCACGTGGTTTTCTCCAAGAGCACGAACAGGACAGGACAGCACAGGTAAATGCACAGAGCCTTCCCTCAGCAGACCCTGCAGGGTTCTCGTCCCTGCTTGCCCGGTGGGGAAACTGAGGCTCGGCCAGGGGGACCCGCCCCAGGTGGTACAGCAGGTTGGCAGCAGGACCCTGACTGGGTGCCCCTCACTGGAGCCTGGCCACCTCCTGAGCTGTGCCCTCCAGCCCCCAGGGGAGCCGAGGGGCTGGCCCCTCCCCCAAACCCCGGCAGGGCCCGATCGGTGGCCTAGCTGACAGCAGCCAGGCCTGGCCCTCAGCCACCGCCCCTGGTCCAATGTCCAGGGGCCACAGCTGCCCACTTGGCAGGTGATGGTTGGCACCAGCTGCTTGACTTGTGTGCAGGGCCACGGCAGGCGGGCTGTCCCAGCTGCTGCCCAGGGCTGCGGTGCCCAGTGCGTCACTCGCCCGTGTACTGTGCCCAGCGTTCTCAGGACAGGCCATGCCCTTCCTCGCCCTCTGACCTGTCCTTACTCAGGCGGCTGCCCAGGCCAGCCGCACAGTGACTGGGCTGGTGTCCTCCCAGCCCCGGACCCCGAACCACCCCTAGGAAGCCTGGTGCTGGCGGAGCCAGGGACTGAGTGATGGGCTCTGTCCCTGTGGTGAGGACTGAGAACGGTGGCAACACCTGGTCAGGCCAGAGCCCAGGCCACCTCCTCCAGGACACCCTCCTGGGTTTCCTGCTGGGAGGAAGGACCCCTTGCTTGGGAGCAGCCGCTGCACAGCAGCCTCGCTTCCTCCCAGTTGGACCTCGAGCCCCGTGAAGGCCGGGACTGGGTCCCTGCTGTCAGTCCAGGCCGTGCTTTGTACGCAGTAGGTGCTCAATAAAAGTAGAGGGCAGACCAGGGAGCAGCAAGAGGGAGGACTGCCCGGTGCCAATATGAACCCAGTTATGTGACGGACAGTCTTCGTCACAGCGGCTGGCATCGCTCTGCTGTCCACTGGCCATAACTTAAACCCAGTGGGGCCACCGGGACTGTTCTCCGTCAGCACCTTTTCCCGTGCTGCACGTGCACAGGTGTGCGTGTCCCCCCGGAGTTCTCTGGGCGCCTCCCCCGCCTGCACCAGGCGCCATGCCCAGGCCGTCAGGCGCAGGGTTTTCGTCTGTCTGCCTTGCAGTGTGGCCAAGGCAGCTGGCTCCCCACCCCCCTCCCTGTTCCCCCAACATCTGCGGGGAGGCGGGCATCCCTGTCCCGGGAGCCAGGCGCTGTGCAGTGGGAAAGCCAGAGGCCCGGGGCCACCTCGTCACCGAGGGATGGGCGCTCTGCAGGGCAGGAAGCAGGCAGCGCAGGGGCACAGGCGGGGAGGGGGCAGCCAGACTGCCCTGCGGCTAAGGCAGTG